GGGGCGTGCCGGGTGGGCGGGGGGCGCGGCGCGCGGGGGCACGTCGGGGCGGAGACGGGGCCGGGCGCGCGCAAGGATCGTGGATGGGGGCGTCGGGACCCGTTGGGATGGGGGTGGGCGCACCGCCGCAGGGCCGCGCCCTCCTTAAGCTGCGACGCAGCCTGGCCGGACGTTGGGAGCGCGGGTCCCTAGGATGAGGGTTTCCACGCCGAGGTTCTGCCCTGTCCTCAGGCCCCGCATCATGGAGTGGGGCTCTCTGCCGCACCCCCAGCCACGCACGCGGACGCGCCCGGGGGCGGGGCCTTCCTTCGCCCCGCCCCGTTCTGCCGGCTTCTGCCTCCAGCCAAGGCTTCCGCTGCGGCAGCCAGGTCCCGGGCCCTGAGCAGCTCCCACGTTCCGGTCTCCCTTCCCTAGATCTCCCAGGCGGGTGCCTTGCTACTCTTTCTTCACCCACTGCTAATCAACTGCGCACCCTCCCTTCAGATATCCAGCCGATTCCTAGCCGACCTCAGGTTAGCGGTGCGCTCACACTCATGCGCAGGGCATGGGCGTCAGGGTCTCATCGGTTCCAGGAGGATCCCTGCCTTTTACTGTTCAGATCCTGTCTGGACCTGTTGCAGACTGCAGGGTCTTGTACAAGAAACCTAATCCCACCGAGACTCAGTCTTTTCGTGTGTGAAACGGGGGAAATACTTAGTTGTTAGGGTTATTCGCTTACGCAGGACGTGTTTTGATTTTGTCTTGTGTCCCGTACTGACTTCAGGATGCCTTACGTGCCCTGTATTCATCTTTTTGCAGTCAATTACAAAAATTTTAGAGTTATTTTTCCGCCGAGGCAATCTGAGCTTAAATCACTTAAATTGCAACGCTAGTTGAAATGTCCTACCTCCGCAACTAAATATATCTGGATAATCCCTATGGTTCTTCCAGCAGGTTTAGCTGAGGGAAGACCAAAAGAAAGGACTAGAAATTAAAAGTACTTATTATTCATATTCAAAAAAGGACTTTTCTTGGCTCAAGTTTCAAGTCGTGAACAAGTAACCACCATTATTTAGAGATAACTTCGCATCAAAACACAGGCTCTGAAAATCAGCCAATCAGCCACAGCTTCACTCCAGTGGCTCTGCTTCTGAAAATCAGCCAGTCAACAACAGCTTCACTCCAGTAACTATGCTTCTGAAAGTTAGTCAATCAATGACAGCCCCAAGCTTCTGAAAGTCAGCCAATCATTGACAGCTCCACGCTTTTAGACAACAGCCAATCAGCAAGTGCCTCGCTCCGATGACCAGGCTTCAGAAGTTAGCTGGGTCTTCAGCTGCCTTGGTGACCACACTAACAGAGCTGGAAGTCGGTCGGTAGGGAGATGGGTTCTCCCGTTTCTGAAATACCTCCAATCCGCCAACGCAAGGCTTCCCAAAACATTATATAACAGCAGATCTGCCTTTGTTGAGGGAGACTGTGGATTGTGCCTTACAAGAACAGCTCTCCTTTGCAGGCAGAGAAGTTCATCTTTTTCTGCATCGGATATTGAGTTCATTTTTTTTTTTTTATTCCGAAGTTCGAAATCCTTTTAAGATTCAACTCCCAGCTACCATTAGTTATGAGTTTAGACTTTTGACAACTCAGTCTCAGCCGTGAGATTTATAAATACAACCTTTTCAAGTCTTGCGATGGTTGCTATTATCTTTTTCTTTTCTTTTTTAAAAGATTTTACTTATTTTTTAAAAAGATTTTATTTATTTGAGAGAGCGAGAATGAGAGAGAGAGAGAGCACATGAGAGGGGGGAGGGTCAGAGGGAGAAGCAGACTCCCCGCTGAGCAGGGAGTCCAATGTGGGACACGATCCCGAGACTCCAGGATCATGACCTGACCCGAAGGCAGTCTTTAACCAACTGAGCCACCCAGGCGCCCTAAAAGATTTTATTTTTAACTAATCTCTACACCCAACGTGGGGCCGAACCCACAACCGGGAGATAAAGAGTCTCATGCTCCACTGACTGAACCAGCCAGGTGCCCCGAATTTTTTATTTTTTTGCAATTCTGTGGGTATGTTCACAAAATTGTACAGTCACCACAACCAATTTTAGAACATTTTCATCACCCCAACAAGAAAACCTACACCTTTTATAAAAGCAGCCATTTCCCCATTTCTCTCCAATGGTCCCAGCCTTAGGCAACCATTAATCTCTCTCTCTCTCTTTGTATGGATTTGCCCATTCTTAACATTTCCTATATGCTGAATCATACAGTATATGGTCCTTTGTGACTGACTTATTTCATTTAGCATAATGTTTTCAAGGTTCATCCATGTTGTAGCATGTGTAAGAATTTAATTTTTATGTTCAAATAACATTCTATTGTATGGATAAATCACATCCACTTATCAGTTGATGTACATTTGGGTTTTTTCCACATTTTTCCTATTTTATTTTTTAGCTAATGTTGCTATGAACATTAGCGTACAAGTTCTAGTGTGGACATATGTTTTCAGTTCTCTTGGGTGTATTACCTCAGCATGAAATTACTGGGTCATATGGTAACTCTTTAACCTTTTGAGGCTCTTCCAAACTATTTTTCAAAGCAGCTGTACCATTTACATTCTCACCAGCAATATATGTGAGTTCCAATTTCTCTAAATCCTCACCAATACTTACTATCCATCTTTTCGATTGATTATAGCCATCTTAGTGGGTGTGAAGTGGTAGCTCATTGTGGTTTTGGTCTGCATTTCGCTGATAGCTAATGATGTTGAGCATCTTTTCATGTATTTATTAGCCATTTGTACATCTTTTTGGAGAAATGTCTTCAGAACTGTTGCCCCTTTTTTTCCGAAATATTTTATTTATTTATTTGAGAGAGAGAAAGCAAGCATGAGTGGGGACAGAGGCAGAGGGAGAAGCAAACTCCCTGCTGAGCAGGGGGCTCGATGTGGGGCTGGATCCCAGGATTCTGGGATCATGACCTGAGCCAAAGGCAGACACTTAACCAACTGAGCCACCCAGGCACCCCTTTTTTCCCATTTTTTATTGGGTTATTTTCCTTTTTTATTAAGTTGTAATAGTTCTTTATATATTCTAGATACAAGTCCCTTATTGGCTATATGATTTGCAAAAAAATTTTTTCCCATTCTATGGATTGTCTTTTCACATTCCTGATAGTGTCCTTTGAAGCACAAAATTTTTAACTTTGATAGTACCCAATTTATATATTTTTTCTTCCTTCTTTCCTTCCCCTCTTTCCCTTCATTCCTCCCTCCCTCCTTCCCTCTTCCTTCCTTCCTTCCTTCCTTCCTTCCTTCCTTCCTTCCTTCCTTTCTTTCTTTCTTTTTAAAGTAGGCTCCATGCCCAATGTGGATCCCAATGCGGGGCCTGAACTCATGACCCTGAGATCAAGACCTGAGCTGAGGAGTGCCTGGGTGACCCAGTCAGTTAAGTGTCTGCCTACAGCTCAGGTCATGATCTCAGGGTCTTGGAATCAAGCCTCACATTGGGATCCTGCTAAGTAGGGATCTGCTTCTCCCTCTCCTCCCCACTTGTGCTCTCTCTTGCTTGTTCTCTCTCTCTCAAATAAATAAATAAAATCTTAAAAAAAAAAAAAAAAAGACCTGAGCTGAGATCAAGAGTTGGACACCCAACATGGGGTGCTTGGGTGGCTTAGTCAGTTAGGTGTCCACCTTTGGCTCAGGTTGTGATCCCAGGGTCCTGCTGGGATGGAGCCCTGCATCAGGAATCCCTACTAAGCAGGGAGCCTGCTTCTCTCTCTCCCTCTGCTGCTCCCCCTGCTTGTTCTCTCTCCCATGCTCTCTCTCTGAAATAAATAAATAAAATCTTAAAAAAAAAAAAGGAGTTGGACACCCAACAGACCGAGCCATCCAGGCACTCCTCCATTTTTTCCTTTTGTTGCTTGTGTTTTGGGGTCATATCTAAGAAACCATTGTCCAATTCAAGGTCATGAGGATTTACCCCCCATTTTCTTCTAAGAGTTTAACAGTTTTGGCTCTTAAATATATGCATTTGGTACATTTTGAGTTAATTTTTGTATGTGGTGTGAGGTAGGGGTCCAACTTCATTCTTCTGCATGTGGCTTCTAGTTGCCTCAGCACCCATTTCTTGAACAGACTATTCTTTTCCCATTGAATTGTCTTGGCACTCTTGTTGAAAATCAGTTGTTACCTCTTTTTTATTTGTGTATATTTGAACCCCAAAATGCCAAAATGCAAGTGTGAAGTCCATGATGAATTTTCTGAACAGTGAACATTTATTAAATGAGGAAAAAGTGCTTTCAAAGCTCCATGTGTAGTATGCAAATGTTATTCAATATTGAAAGTGGTGGAGGGGCACCTGGCTGGCTCAATTGGTGGAGTATGCAACTCTTGATCTCAGGGTCATGAGTGCAAGCCCCACGTTGGGTATAGAGATTACTTAAAAATAAAATCTTAGGTGGTGCCTGGGTGGCTCAGTCAGTTAAGCATCTGCCTTCTGCTCAGGTCATGATCCCAGGGTCCTGGGACTGAGTCCTGCATCGGGCTCCCTGATCAGCGGGGTGTCTACTTTTTCCTTTGCCCCTCCCCCATGCTCATGCATGCTCTCTCGCTCTCTCAAAAATAAATAAATAAAATCTTAAAAAATATAAAATAAAATCTTAGGGGTGCCTGGGTGGTGCAGTCAGTTGAGTGTCCAACTATTGGTTTTGGCTCAGGTCATGATCTCAGGGTCATGGGACCAAGCCCCGAGTAGGGCTCTGTTCTCTGCTTGGAGTCCGCTTGAGATTCTCTCTTTCCCCCCTCTGCTCCTCCCACTTTTGTGCGCTCTCTCTATTTCTCATAAATAAATCTTTAAAATAAAATCAAGTAAAATCTTAAAAAGAAGAAAATGGTGTAAAGTCAGATACAAACTAGCATATACTAACAGC